CCAATCCCCCACTTTACCGGTTCCTAACCGAAAGACACCTGGTTTCTCCTCTGCGTGTGTTTTCGGTCTTTCACCCTAGACACTCTGGCCAACTTAAACAATACCAACTACACTCCCTATCTAGACTTACTAAACGTATTTACCCCAAAACATTTCAAGATTAACAATTGTTTTCTCAAAACAATATAACAATTTCCAAAATATAGCCATAATGCACAATATTTCAAAGCTATGAAAATGAATGAAGTGAGATGCAATTATATAGTTTTCATAATACAATTTTCCACAATTCTCAACATTTTCTCAAGGTAGAATGCAGTATTCAATGTTTTTCCAATCACTTCCAAATTTCCATACCATGTGACATATGATACCATTTCATATTCACAATCACATTTATTTCCCTTTCATAGTCCAAGCATATATAAAATCATGCTATCATGTAAGTTTCTTAACACAAAACTCATCCACCCCATGGATATCTCAATCAACACAACACTAAAGAAATTTCATCATTTTCTTAAGACATTTCCAACAATCGCATAAATTTTCACAAAATCAAATTTTCCTTAACCTTTCCCAAATCCAGGGTTTGAGTAAAAAGGGGTTTTCCTTCTATTTCAAGACATTTTCCTCCATACACTCCCAAGAGGTTCACAAGTTTATAAAACCATTTAATTTAATATTTGTCATAATAAAAATCACTTTTCAATACTTCCAATGTTTCACATTTAAAATCTCAAACCCTCTACTCAAAATCATAGCAAAATAAGGAAGACATTCTAAAATCATATGCATATATATATATATATATATAACTCAAAGAAACTCCATACCTCAAGTGTTAGAAAGGAAAGATGAGAAGGGCTCCAAAATCAATGGCATCAAAACCCGTTCTCCACCGTATGCTACATAGCCCTTGATCAGCTCTCCAATATTAATGAAGACACAAAGGTCAAAGCTCTAATAGATTTGGAGGGATTAAGGAATTTATAAGGGTTGGTGGGTGTATTCTAGAGAGAGAAGAGAGAAAAGAGAGAAAAGTGATATGTAAAGAGAAAGTGTGAAGTGAAAGGTGAAGGAAAGAAGGTATATGGCTCAACCTTTAAGTGATTAAACACAAATCTCGGAACTGACATCAGATAGACTGCTCGAGCGGTGAAACATGCGCTCGAGTGGTGAATTGAAATTCTCATATTCTCTCTTTTTTTGCAAACAAATTTCTCAAGCAGTTAAACTTTTTGCTTGAGCGGTGAAAACACTCTTATAGTATTTTAGACTTCAGGACCAAGAGCTAGAAGAGCAACATTACTGCTCGAGTGACAAAAGTACCGCTCAAGTGATCTCAACTCAAAAGTGAGACAAAATTAACCTTAGAGCGTTCCCACCATTCCTAGAATCACTCTGACACCCAAAGATACGAACTGACACCTTAGAATACACTAGGATGTATATGAACAACCACGAGGAAAGAATAGGTGACAAAACAAGACTCAAAGAGCTCAACGGTAATAAGGACAATTAAAAGAGACAAAAATTTTAAAATTAATACACTCAAATTGCTTTAAAAAGACTCGGGACATCACATCCGTTGCATCGAGTTCGAAAAGAGGTTGAGGATCGGGGCTCATTTTCAAGGTTGTCAGCTCTATGATTCGAGATTATTGTTACGACCCCCAACATGCATATTATTTTTATATATTATTTCATTGAGCATATTTGCATAATTATGTGTTTAATTGATGCTTATCTGTTTGTTTATGAAATATCTGTTAGAGTACAGACTTAAAATTCGAAATTGGAAGCCGAAACAGATTTAGAAACCAAAATTGACTAGTTCAATAGGCTAATTAAAAAATTTAGAACCATATGGAAAATTTAATTAACATTTTATTCGGATCAAAATAATTAGAATAATTCAATTAGAGATGATTAGAATTAATTAGAACTAAGCTTGATTAATTAACCTTAATCGTACTTAATTAGCCTAACTGAATCAAACCTATAAATATGAGATACAAGCTTATGAACTCATTTTGTTTTACAACTTTGAGCTGAAAATTTGAGAAAGCAGAAAAGAAACAACAAGTGTAGAGAGAGAAATGTAGAATTATAGAGATTTGAAGGGGATTTGAAGAACTTTAGCTAATTCAACTTCAATTCAAGCTCTAGGTATGGAATTCACCCATAATACTTGTAGATAATTCATGTAGAAAATTGAATTCACCAAGTTGTAGGATCATTTGCATGTAATTGGAAAGAAAATGATGGAATCAACTTGTTCATGGAAGAATTAAGTTAATTGTGTACATAGTTCACCATTCTTGAGTTTGATTTTCAAGAAAAAACATTACATGCATGGTGTTTATACTTGATATCTTAAGGGATTTTACATAATTCTCCACTTATCACTTCATATATTCATGATTTGAAGGAAAATAATTGAATTCATTACATGCATGGTGAAAATTATGAGTTTTGGGTTTTGTTTTGGAAATTGAAGAAGGTTTTTGGGACTATGGTTTGAAGATAATCAAATGTCTATGAGTTATGAAGTGTTTTTACATATCTCAACTAGCCATGCAAACTATGGTTGTGAAAGTTGTAGTTTTGAACTTCAAATGCAATTATGGAAATTCCAAGATTCTGTCTTACCGGTAGAGTGAACAATCTGTCGCTCGAGCGCACTTTGTAGTCTCTCAGTATTTTTGCAGACACGTTGCACATGGCTTGAGCGACTGAATGACTTCTCGAGCGAACTCACCTTTCTTTTCACTTGGCTCAAGCGACTGCCAAGCCTACATTTCGATTATCTAGTACTTTTGTAGATAGGCTGAAGATGTGCTCGAGCTAACTGCCCTATTTTCAACATTTTTGAAATACATTTCCATGTGCATGTTTTTATTCTCAAGCTCTCTTAAGCATTTTTAGACATTGTTTAGACAACATTAGTAATGAAGTGGATTAGAAACACATAAAAAGGGAATTGAATTAAGATAGAATGTTCAATCGAGACTTGTGTTTAAATGTGTGCTTTGTTATGTATATTGTGTAGGTGGATGCCCGAGGCCTAATATTTGTACAATCCACTGTGAGTAATGTCTTTATAGAGCTATGTTCAAAAAGTATTTTGAAGTGGTTAAGAATGATATTTTGAATCTTATTTTGTTATCTATGAATGAATGTCCTTTTTGAAATTGTAATCATGGCATCCTTTAGTGAGGCCCTTGCTTGGGAAAAACAATACCATGGCCCATTGATTAATAGGCCCTCGCCTAGGGGAAACAATACCATGGCCCATTGGATAAATTGAAACACAGATATCTCTGATGTTAGACCTTAATGGTTCACATTGAATTATGGATTATTGATTGACCCATTGTGGTCTTATTGGATTGACCCTTGTAGTCCTATTGACTTCGACACATTGTTTCAATGTTACTCCATTGGATGTACCATGTATATTGATTTGAATGATTATTATTATCGCAAAGAGATTGATATGATTGTTTACTCTATTGGTTTTGCTCATTGGCATGAATTATTTCGGAAACGAAAGATACATTTTGTAACATGTTGGACTTCATTCATATAAAACCTTTATATTGATATTACTCACTAGGCTTCAGCTCACCCCTCTCCCATATATATATATATATGTAGGTGAGTAAGTGGAACGTCAAGTTTAAGGCAGCCTCGGAGTCTACCCTGTAAAGCCTTTTTGAAGTGCCTCCGTGATGGGGTGTGCTTAGACTCGAGAGGAGTCTAGCTTTGTCAACCCTCCCTTTATTTTGTTACTTTTGTTATTTTGGGATTTGATGTGGATGAATGTTGTAAAAAATGTTTAAATATGCTGTGATGTATTTATGTAAGATGAATGGAAGTTTGTTCACTATAAAGGGTCCTTTCATATATGCACTGCTCAATAGACTTAGTTATATTTCATTATTGCTTATGCTAAGCCCCATTATTATATTATGATTAATTTTGTCATTGAGGCCGAAGCTAATCCGGGATTTCTGGCCGGTCATGACCTAAACCTACGGGGGCGGGTACGGGTTGTGTCAATTATGGTAACTTGGTTGAGTTAGCAACTCATTTGGAGGTGGTTATACAAACAGAGAAGGAGCGTATGAAAGGCTCAACAATCTACATCCACCTTTCCCGTGTCGAGTTCTGGTTCAAAGAGAGATAATCAGGGAGGTTTCACATGTTTCAAGTGTGGTTAGTTAGGCCACAAGTCTCCAGCTTGCCCGCAGAGAGGAGGAGGGCAACAACTAGCACCGTCTTTGAGTCGTTCTTAGAGTCAGAGCTTAGGGAGAAGGCAACCACCTACGTGTTTTCAATGTGGGCAGTCAAGTCATTTGAGGAGATTTTGCCCTCAGTCTGGTGGCACATATGATGCGTCTGGTTTAACGCAAACTCAAAGCCATCTACTAGCTCAGTCAGTTCAAGCCTCAAGGGCCAATCAGGGAGCCATTTTGGCTCAATCTGTGAATCAGGCCTATGTTCTGAGAGGTGAGTAGGTAGACCAGAGGCCTCTGAGGCTTGTGTATGCTGTTACGACACTAGATCAGTTGCTAGTACTTTCTGTTGTGAGAGGTAACTTTTTACTATTCAATTCTCTAGCCAATGTGTTGATAGATACAAGTGCATCTCATTTATTTATTTTGCCTTTTTTTGTATCTGCCTTGGGTTTGGAGTTTGATCAGTTAGAGTCTCTACTGTTTGTTGAGACACCTGTTGGGGGTAAGGTGGCGTTGGGTCAAGTGTGTCATTTTTGTGAGATTGAGTTTGCAGATCGTCAACTTTCTTTTGATTCTATTGTCCATGAAATGCATACTTTTGATGTGATTTTGGGTATAGATTGGTTGACCTCTTTTCGAGCATCAATAGATTGTCACCGTAGAAGGTTGTCGGTATGTACACCATTCGGGGATTGTTTTTACTTCTTGTGTGACTGGTGTGATAGTTTTATTCCTCCTTTGTATGACCTTCAGGGTCAAGGAGAGTTGAGTTTTCTCTTTGCCATCATGGTAGCCAATGAGGATAGCATTGTCTGGGGTGGCTTACCAACAGTGGTTCGAGAGTATCTGAACATCTTTCTGGAGGATCTTACAGGTTACCACCACATAGAGAGATTGAGTTGCACAACTCCAATTTTCATGGCACCGTATAGATTTGCGCTAGCTGAATTACGTGAGTTGAAGGTGCAGCTTTAGGATTTGTTAGACAAGGATTTTACACCCTAGTACGTCGCCTTGGGGAGCACCGGCTCTCTTTGGGAAGAGAAATGATAGCACTTTGCGGTTGCGTATTAATTATCATAAGTTGAACTGGGTAACTATCAAGAATAAATACCCATTGCCAAGGAAAGATGACTTATTTAAACAACTAAAGGAATCTGGTTGCTTCTCAAAGATTGACTTGATATCGGTGTATCACCAGTTGAGGGTGAAGGAGGAGGACATTCAGAAAACAGTCTTCCATATGCGTTATGGGCACTAAGAGTTCTTAGTGATGCCTTTTGGGCTAACTAATGCATCGGCTTCGTTTATGGACTTGATGAATTGAGTATTCCGTGAGTTTTTAGACCAACATCTTAGTCTACTCACCCTCCAAGAAGGAGCACGAGAGGCACTTGCAGGTTGGACTTGAGTTGCTTAGATCACACCGTTTGTTTGCGAAGTTCAAGAAGTGTGAGTTTTGGCTCAAGGAAATTAAGTTTCTAGGCCATGTTGTGTCTGGGGAAAGAGTGATTGTGGATTCCTTTAAGATAGATGTTGTACATGACTGGGAGCAACCTAAGAATACTTTTGAGATTCAGAGTTTTTTGGGCTTAGCTGAGCATTACTGATGCTTTGTGAAGGATATTTCTAGACTAGCTTCACTTTTGACTAGGTTGATAAGAAATGGAGTTAAGTTTGTGTGGAGTAAGCCTTGTGAAAAGTTATTCCAAGAGCTTAAGACTAGACTTACTGCTACTTTAGTTTTGATTATTTCAGAGAGGGGTTTGGGTTATGCAGGAAGGGTTGGGTTGTGTATTGATACGGTAAGGAAAGGCTGGAGTGTATGGCTCTCGACAATTGAAAATCCATGAGAAAAACTACCCTACGCACAACTTAGAGTTAGCAGTGGTGATTTTTGCCTTAAAAATCTAGAGGCACTACTTGTACGAGGAGAGGTTTGATGTGTTTTTTGATCATAAGAGTCTAAAATATCTGTTTTCGTAGAAAGACTTGAATTTGAAGCAGAGGAGGTGGATGAAATTTATTGAGGATTACGATTTAGAATTGCACTATTATCCTGGGAAGGTCAATGTAGTGGCTAATTCTTTGAGTAGGAAATCCGTAAGCAACGTAGAGTGTGTTACTATTCGAGAATAGGAGATGTTGGGTATTCTTGGTCAGCTTGACTTGCATCTTTGTGAGTTCGTTGAGTTGGCTACATTATTTACCATTGTTGTACAACCTACCTTAGTTAGTCAAGTTATTGAAGCATAACAACATGACCGTGAGGTGGAGATTGTCCGAGGAAAGTAGAGAAGGGTCAGAATGTTTATTTGATTTGAGTGTGAGATATTTGGGCTGCTTGTGTATGCTAGAGTCTTGTAGAGAAGAGGTACTCTGAGAGTTTTAACATTCATGCCTTGCGAGACATCCGAGAAGCACGAAGATGTATTATGATCTTTGTCGCCATAAAGAGAGATGTGGCTCCATTTGTTTTGAGGTGCCTTACTTGTCAACAAGTGAAGGCCAAGCACCAACGACCAGTGGGTTTGTTACAACCCTTACTTATAGCTGAGTGGAAGTGGAAGCATGTCACAATAGATTTCGTTGTTGGTCTTCCGAGGACTAAACGGGGTAACGATGCCGTTCGGGTAGTTGTTGATCGATTAACTAAGTCTGCATATTTTATCCCTATGCATACGAGTGACTCGATGGATTATCTTGCTGAATTGTATATTAGGGACATAGTTCGATTTCATGGGGTTGAGGTGATTATCGTCTCGGATAGGGATTTGTGTTTCACGGCTCGGTTATGGCAGAGCCTACAAAGTGCCTTGGGCCTTAAGTTGACTTTTAGCACCACCTATCATCCTCAGACCGACGGGTGGTCTGAATGTAGTATTTAGATTCTAGAGGACATGCTTTACACTTGTGTTCTCAACTTTAAAGTGTCATGGGAGTGGCTCTTACCTTTGATAGAGTTTGCCTATAACAATAGCTTTCAGGCGAGTATCAGAATAGCAACCTTTGAGGCCTTATATGACCAATCTTGTAAATCAGCTGTTTGTTGGACAAGTGGGTGATGCATCTATGTTGGGTCCTAAGTTGGTCTGAAAGACAATAGAGAAAGTTGCACTTATTCGTAAGACGTTGGTTTTGGCTCAGAGTCATCAAAAGAGCTATGGCAATCAGAGAAGAGGTGGGGGATCATGTGTTCCTTAAGATTTTGTCGAGATGAGGTTTGATGAGATTTGGAAAGAATAAAGAGTGAAAAGTTGTCTCTAAGGTTTATTGGGCCTTTTGAGATTCTAGAACAAATCGGGAAGGTCGCTTATCATCTAGCCTTGTGGACCCAATTTTTTAGGATTAACAATGTGTTTTATTTCTATATGCTTAGTAAGTATGAGCCCAATTCTTCATATTTGCTAGATTAGACTAATTTAGAGGTAGACAAGGATGCCTTATATAACGAGAGATTGGTTCGGGTTTTGGACATTGTAGTTGGTTTTTCGTGCTCCTTGGAGGGGTTAGTCTCCTCGGGTATGATAGTCCTACAGTTCGGACTCCTGTGGTTCTAAATATGGTTTCACAAGTGCAATGTGAAACAGAAAAAAAGAAAAAGAAAAAAGAATGAGAGTCTAAGTTCGGCAAATCTTAGAAAATCCATTTATCATCAGAGATGCCGAAAGTGGACTGATATTGCCAAATTTCAGAGTCGCCACCTAAATATTTTTGAAAAATTTAGGAAACCCGTGACTCGTGGCGAAGGCCACTTGTCCGTCATAACCAAAGTGTCTTGGCTCAGGAACTTAGGTATGAGAGGGGAAGGTCATGAATTGAGCACCCTATTCACTCGATCAAAGATCGACCTCTACTAATCATGATGTGATTTTTATGTGTAGTGTATGCTCATGTTCTGATTATTATGCTAACTAACTATGTGAGGCACACACGTATAGACTATGTCACCCACTTTGGAATTCTTTAATTTCATGTTTGTTTGAAAAGAGGTTTAAATATGTGATAGTTGAAAAAGTGAGCTCCTATGTACACTAATCAAATTCATTCCAACTTAAGCAAAATAGCCTTCATCCACAACCATTCAGAGAGATATTTGAAATAAGTACGTAGCCTCATGGTAGTATGCTTGATACGGAAACACAAATACTCATGCAACATGCTAAAGCAAAAAATGCTCATCTAGTACTCAACTGAGGCAAGCCAAAGAGAGTAAAATAATTAGAAAACTGCATGTTCTTAATATGTAAAGTGACCAATGCAACACATATAAAATGAAACTACTAGGTTCAGCTTTTTTATCATGTCATATGGATCATCTCAAAGCATGCGGTAATGCATGTATTCAAGTAAGTAGAAAAATAACAATGATATTAGAATGATGAACCAAACCTAATGCGTGCAAAATGGATACAAATCATGGCAATGATATGACACAAAAAATATGATGCTATATACAACCACGGTAAGCATATAAATAAAAAGGAGAAAGAAATGGGGGTTGGAAGACATACGAATATTATAAGTTAGCTCTCACACAAGAGGGTCCAAATGAATTTCCTAATTAAAGTAATTATTTTAACACAATCGAATAAACTAAACTAACTAATTGTTACAAGTCCGAATGAAAATAAAGCAACTAATTAATTACAACATATGAATATGAATATTAAAGTAGCTAATCTAAGGGACTCGAATGGGAGGCAAAGAACCGCATGCGCACAATTGAAAACACTTACCAGAGACCTCTCTGTTTGCTGCGAAGATTAACTTTGTTTGCAGTCAGAAAATTATTATGTTTTGACCTCTTATTCTACTCTGTTCTGCTGTGAAAATGCCACTGCCTATACAAAATGGGTGGCCGGCCGGCCTGAGAGAGTGGTCGGCCATACAAAATGATAGCCGGCCGGCCACTACTTCTGGGAAATACCTTGTTGTAACAGAGTTGAAACAGAGCAAAATTAGAGTGTTTCCAGAAGATGTTCATCCTCTCTACCCTTCTCTATCATGAAGATGATCAAGGGAGAAGAAAATTCGATTCTCAAATCATGAATCATTGCAAATCTGTTGCATGATGAATTTAGAAATGAGGGGACAAGAGCTTAATAAATGAAATAAAAGATAAACAATACTTCCTCCCTATCATGGAGTTACCTCAAGGGAGGGAGTAGACTTGCCTCACGAATCTGCAAACATCACAATTATAGTATGCGATAATTGAAGACGCAATAGGTTCAATATAACGTCCGACTGAACCTAACCAAATTTTATTGTCTTTTTACGTCTTTTACTCCAATTTTATTAGCCTTTTTAACATTACCTTTCCATTTTTCTTATCTTTTCTTCCTTTTTGTCCAGAGGTGATGATTACTTCCATTAAATCCAAAGCAATAAAGAATAGCAAGCACGACTTAACCCGAACAATGAGCTTTTTAGGCCCTTTTCTATGGAGGAAACTACAAAGGAAGGATCAAACTCATTTACAAGCGATAATGAATTCAGAGTCAAACCCAAAATGAGCGATAATGACTCCAAATCCAAACTTGATAATAAGCTATAATGAACCTTTCCTTTGTGATTTTGAAGGGTCTAACTAGAAAATTAGTCCCTTAAAAGTAATGCACCGGCGATAAAGGGAAGTATCAAACAAAGATCATGCTTAGCATAAGAGAGATGCAATGCCCTGGTAATGAACATCTGAAGAGATTTAACCATTTAGCATGGGAGGTCTCTTTCTTATTCCTGAAGCGATAATATTTTATTTGATACCACTCTTTATCAAAAGAAACAAAGACTAGAGGGAGATTACAGATTGCTAACTAAAAGGTGAATGATTACCATGGTGTGAATATGTACATGAAAGCTATGAAAAATGAAAGAAAAGACTATCAACTCAAATAGATTGGAAGCTAAGGCCTATACACCAAATCCATGAGGACTTACAACAACACAAGTATAATATTCGAAGCATAAATTGAATAAACACTTAAAACAACCCCAAAATAGCACAAAATAGTGCTGAAAATCAATTAAAAAAAGACAGAAAATATGAACAAAAATGGTAGAGGACAAGCCTAATAAGCAAGCCTAAGGAAGGGTGGCTAACCCCTCCACTTTTTGCAACTTTAAATCACATTTTTAAGCTTTAAAAAGCTCTGAAATCAGTATGAAAAGGTAAAGAAAAGAGAGAGAAAAGATGGTAAAAGAGCTTAAGATATACCTCTTGGAAAAGAGGAAAAGCTCCTTAGTTAACAAACCACAAACCAAGCACTCTCAAGGAGCTAAAGTTAGATTCAAGAACCTCAGCCAAAAGCTTCAAGTTTAAGCTTAGAACGTGTATGTATAGTGTATGTATATTGCAAGAGAGGAGGGTAGTGTGTTGGACAAGTTTTTAGCTTTTGGAGAATTTTTCTAACCCCAAACCCTTAGGGGAGGCCTTGTATTTATAGAAAAACAAGTTCTTACGTTGGAAATATCAACAAAGGGATAGCTGGTGCAAGGCATGCACATGGGGATAGCTGGCTGTCTCAAAATATTTGCTATCGCTGAACATGGCAAGCCGACCATGAGGAGGTACGGTCGGCCCAATGAAAATGGCCTATCGGCCATT